ATGACAGAGCCCAGTAGGCTCAGGAATCTGTACATCAGTTGATTGTCGGTTGAGAGGCGGGACCAAAGAGCCGAAGCTCAACCCCCGCAAGCACAACTAGGTGAGCACACACACACACACGCAGCAATGAGGGCCAATTGAAGTCACTCATTTGTGTTGTGTTCCGACTCCTCTGACACGCACATCAAATCTGACACACATACCTACGTTCCAACACACACACACACACACACACACACACACACACACACACACACACACAGTCGAGCGGACGGGGGTAGTAGTCCTAAGAGGCCCGTGTCCGATCCCCGGCCGAGGCAGAAACAAATGGGTGGTTTCTTTATTTATAACCTTCATTATTATTATTATTATTATTATTATTATTATTATTATTATTATTATTATTATTATTATTATTATTATTATTATTATTATTATTATTTCTGCTTTGTTCAAGACCTCACATGTCAGTCACTTGGATCCTGAAAGCTACGGACTGCAAAGTCTCAAGATTTTGCAAGTCATATCTACTGAAAACTCTACGGAGTCTACTACCACGATTACATTACTCTTGAATATCTTGAGGAACTCTTTCAATGTGCTTCAGACAACAGCAAGATGTTCATTGAAGACAATTTCCAGGAAATCAAAACTTATGTCACAAACAAGATGCAGTCAAACCACTGTAGAAGACTTGGGAGTTATCACGTAAGAAAGCCTTACTTTTGAAGAACATAGCAGAGTATAGGTATCACAACAAGAATTTTTTTATCCTGGAAAACAAGAATCTTTCAAACAAGATATGCCAAACAATATAATGATAATTTCTCAGACGCTACTGTTATCTAAGATTGAATATTGTTGCAATGCCAACAGCTTAAGAAGTTGTTCACGTCTAAATTACTAGGAACATTTAAAATGAATATAACTTGGAGTGCAGGCGAGAGAGACATAATAATTTATACCAGAACAAAAAATATTAAAGGGACTAGCTCGAAATCTGTACACGGAAATAATTCATTAAGAAATCAGTACGCATGGCAAAATGTGCAGAATTGCTCCTTTTGAGAAGACGAGGTGGCATAGGGTACGTTAAGAAACTGCTCTATCAACACTAAGGCCCCCAATTAGACATTTCAACACCCATCTTTAAACGTTACGGACGAAACTACCCGACCTCTTACGGCATGCTAAAGGAAACATGAAAAACAGGTCCAAATAGTGACTGGTCAACTGTGACAGTTCAACTGTGACAGTTCAACTGTGACAGTTCAACTGTGACTGGTCAACTAGACTGTAACTCATACGCCAAGCTTTGGAGAGCTGCGTCAACCAGTCTGGTTGACACAGACTACCATTCAGGAGGCCTAATAGTCTGGTCGAGTGATCATTGACTCTGAACCACTGGAAGGTAACGTCAAGGTAACCTCATCTGATTAGGCTCACCGGTCGGAACACCGACGGGCTCGTTTCTTACAGGTCCCCGGCGTTCGATCCCCCGATGGTGCAAGTAGTTGGGCCATTATATCATGGCTTAGCACTCTCTCTTCATAAGTGGCCTCACTTTCCTCACCCAAGTGTTGTGAGTGATAGTGGGTACTGCCTTCTCACTATCTAACCTCCTAGCACGGCGTCTTAGCGAGGCCTCTTAGCGAGGCGTCTTAGCGACCCATCTTATCAAGTAATCCAAGTGAAAGCTTTACCAGGAAGCTTGGTCAAAAAGGCGAATTTCTGAAACGCTGGTCAGAAATTTAACACCATCTAAAATGTCCGCTGTTTATTTAACAACAACAAGGTCCTTCAAGGTCATCCTCAGAGGATAAGCTGGGGGACTGGAACTTTAAGTGCAGGTGGGACTAATCTTGAATTTCTGCATTTTTTTTTGTATATGATGACAGATCTACTGCTCGTTTGTAGGTCTGAGTGGTTTCCTGCAGAAGTTCGCTATAGTCGGACACTTGAACAACGCGCATTCCTTCATCTATTACCGGTTGTGGCTTCCCTGATCACCGAGTGCTCTTCAGAGGCTGGTTACTAAACTAGGCACAATCAGCCAACACTGTATAAACATCAGAGGACCACGGTTGTTCAACACCCTCCCAGCGAGCATAAGAAATATTGCTGGAACAACCGTGGACATCTTCAAGAGGAAACTAGATTGTTTCCTCCAAGGAGTGCCGGACCAACCGGGCTGTGGTGGGTATGTGGGCCTGCGGGCCGCTCCAAGCAACAGCCTAGTGGACCAAACTCTCACAAGTCAAGCCTGGCCCAAGAGAGAGAGAGAGAGAGAGAGAGAGAGAGAGAGAGAGAGAGAGAGAGAGAGAGAGAGAGAGAGAGAGAGAGAGAGAGAGAGAGAGAGAGAGAGAGGTAGGTAGGTTTATCAGCATATAGATACTGTCTCAGAATGCCACTGAGAATAACACATCCAGACTATATTACAGCGAACTGGAAGTACAAGTAAGGAGTAATTATCAAAATAAGGCAGCAAGCTTGGAAGACAGCGGTGAGTCACGTGGTGCGACACCAGCTGGCATACAACACAGCTGGCATACACCACCACAGCCATACAACACGTGTGCATACACAAGGGCGGCATCAATGACAGTATCATTGTAATTTTCTTATTAATTTTATGTATGAATGAATATGGTCTTGAAGGAGAGAGCCTTGGCCGCCAGTCCACACAGGCGCTCGTGCTCACCTAGTTAGGCTTCGGTGGGTTGAGCTCTAGCTCTCTGGTCCCCGCCTTTTAACCTTTAAACGACTGATGTACAATCTGGTCGACGTTTTGTTCTGCCAATTTACACAAGTTTCAGATCTAACCAAATCATAGACTTTTATACCATGTTTTCAGGTCTTCAAGTGTCAGTAATTCCTCTCCTCTCAGACGTGAGTATTTGGAACAACATTGTCTTAACAGATATGGGGATACCCAAGTCTAGTTTAACTGCATTCTTGTTACAAGCTAATTTGACTGTAATGTATCTATCAGCCTGATGGGATGTGTTTAGGCGAGATGGAATCCATACAGAAGAGACTCTAAACACTTAAATTCTGTGTAGCGAGCAAATTAATATATTATATATATATATATATATATATATATATATATATAATAGTTATTATGAGGTTCTCACTGTCGATCTGGCAGACGTTTTCAAGTGTCTGAAGAGCAAACGTTGAATCACAGAACGTTATCATGTGCTTTATAGTGTACTGGTAGCTAGATGTAGTACAGTTAGTGTAGAGGTCAGCCAGTTAGTTGTTAACCTTACACTGGCAGTCAGGGAGGAGGGGGGGGGGGACGTCCAAGCATTATTTCTGTAAAAACCTACATCCTACTGCAGTCCGTCCTGTTGACGACTGGACTATGCCATCGGTGTTGATACGATGCTCGAGAGATCTTCGGTTTTTGGTTAAGGAGACAATTGTTTCAAGTGTGACAGCCTTAAGAGGAGCAAGATCCTCATTACCTTTCATTGTGATGGATGTGTATGACATTTGAATAGTGGGGTAGACACAGGGAGGAATATCAGTGACAAATAGATTGCATCTAAATGTTCAGCTGGATGAGATTGTAGACACCTTAACACCTTGGGAGCCGGTCGGCCGAGCGGACAGCACACTGGACTTGTGATCTTGTGATCCTGTGGTCCTGGGTTCGATCCCAGGCGCCGGCGAGAAACAATGGGCAGAGTTTCTTTCACCCTAGGCCCCTGTTACCTAGCAGTAAAATAGGTACCTGGGTGTTAGTCAGTTGTCACGGGCTGCTTCCTGGGGGTGGAGGCCTGGTCAAGGACCGGGCCGCGGGGACACTAAAAGCCCCGAAATCATCTCAAGATAACCTCAAGATAAGAAGCCATCACACAAGGAATGAGCCAGTATACTGGCACCAGTCAACACGGTGTTAACAGCACTGAATAATTAGTCTCTGAGTAATGCAGGAGAGGTAGGGGGTCTCATGACTAAGGCAAAAAAGGTCGTGTTGACTCGCATGATTCTCTCTAGTATGGTTGGAAGGTTCAGTTCTTCCCTCATGTTGATGGTTCTTGTGCGTCTTGGGGCACCAAGAATCACCCTCATGCGTTCGTTCTGTACTACTAGTTTGTTCAAAATAGAACTAGAAGTAAGACAATTTGGGGGGTTATGGAGTATGGGGAGGGGGGGGGGATAGGGAGGGGGTAGTGGAGGGGGGGATGGGGACGGGGTGTGGAAGGGAAAGGAGAGGGGAAAGGGAAGCAGGATAGGGAGGGGTGGAGGAGGGAGAGGGAAAGAGGGAGGAAGGAGAGGAGAGAAAGGGAAGAGATTGAACAGTGGGAGGAGTGGGAATAGGAGAGAGGGGGAGAGGGGGGGAGGAAGAAGAGGGGAGGGGAAAGGAGGACAGACCCGGGCACTGCCGGGTGCCCTTACAGGTAACACAATAGGCACACACTTCCTCAGTTTATAAACACACAATCCTCCCCCCCCAAAAAAAAAAGTCTGAAGTGGGCAAAACATCACATCAAAGTTTCAAAAAAAAAAAAAAAAAGATATTCAAAGTTGAGTCACATGTTATTGTGAGAGTTTCGTGACACAGTTTCACTCGACCTTCTTTACTTTGGCGCTAATCCTAACTCGCCCATGTTAGGCACGGACCCAACAGCAATTACTGGGGGGGAAAAATTGGGTAAAGCAAAACCCGAAACGACTGGCCTCCAATTTCGACCAGATAGATATTTCCATTATTAGATTTAAATGTATGAACACACACACACACACACACACACACACACACACACACACACACACACACCACACACACACACACACCACACACACAAACACACACACACACACACACACACGCACACACACGCACGCACACGCGCACACGCACACGCACACGCGCACACCTCTAGAAGGGTGTGTGTGTGTGTGTATCAAATTCTCAGACACAGCCTAAGTGATGCCAACCACACAGACAGACAGATGCAACTAACCACTTGAGAAAAGCCACTTACTTGAGTGAGGAGCGTTGCGCGCGTGCGTGCGTGCGGTGAGGGCGGACGCTGCCTTCTGACTGACTCTTCTCCCACCAACTTAGTGACTGCTAGCATGGTAATGTATGTGTGTGTATGTGTGTGTGTGTGTGTGTGTGTGTGTGTGTGGTGTGTGTGTGTGTGTGTGTGTGTGTGTGTGTGTGTGTGTGTATTCATCTAGTTGGTCTTGCGGGGGTTGAGCTCTGTTCTTTCGGCCCGCCTCTCAACTGTCAATCAATCAACTGTTACTACTTTTTTTTTCACACACACACACACACACACACACACACACACACACACACACACACACACACACACACACACACACACACACACACACCCCAGGAAGCAGCCAGTAGCAGCTGTCTAATTCTCAGGTACCTATTTACTGCTAGGTAACAGGGGCAACTGGGTGAAGAAAACTCTGCCCATTTGTTTTTTCCGGCGGTGCCGGGGAATCGAACCCCGGTCCCTACACCCACACCCCGACCAACCCACCCACACCAACTCACTAAGACACGCAAACTAACAAGGAAAAATAAGACAATTGGCAACTCCTCAATGTATCCACGATGACGTCACACCCTGTGGTGACGTCACGTACGGATATTACGTCACAGGCGGATGCCAACCCAGAGAGTCTCTCTCTCTCGTTCCATATTTACGCTCCATGAGTCACCAAGCACATAATAGAAGCAACGATACAAACTAAATAACGGGACACATTACTGCAGCGCCTCCACCACTCAGCCACCGTCCCCCTCCCCCAGAGTTTGTGAATAATATTCACTTTTACATAAACAAAAGAAGGATGTCCTTATGTACGATAACTGCGCTTAATTGCAGTTACTCTTCATAGTTACGAAAGAGTCTTCTGGTTTGATTAGATTCGTGGATTCGAATCATTTCGTCTGGTTTGATTAGGATTTTAAGATTATTTTCTTATTTATCTTCATCTCCTCCCTCTTATTCCTTG